AAGATGAAGTGATGACACTTCGAAACCGGTCGCACTCAATGTTTTGTTAAACAATTAAACATTGGCTTTCCTTGTGAGATATAAAGGACTTTTTCTCACCCTTCACCTTAAAATTACCTCAACTCACACATGGCTACCCCCCTTGTCAATTTTACCAATGCTCTTACAGGATGCGGGTGTAAATCTAGGTGGAATGTATTTTCAACACGACGCAAACAGGCGAATTTTCCCGAAATCCTGGCCAAAACTAAATGTTTGTTTGATATTAAAAATGGTTAAAATTAATAACTGATGCGTAAAATAGACAAAAAAACATTTTTTTGAACCGTTGTCAATTCTACACCCCTCCCCATCCTTCAAAATCATTAAACTAAAAAAAACAGGAAACTATTAAGAATATATTTATTTTACAATATTCCTACCAATACAAAAGCTACTTTTAGGCTTAAAATTATTTACTATTTATTATTACTAGACACATACATTTTTCTTGACATTACTACAATATCATTATTCGCTATCGCTTTCACTTTCTTTTTCTTTGTCCGCTATAAATGGCTCTCATCAAATAATTTTAAAACTTCTAAAGGGTATTTTTTTAACTTTTTTGAGTCATATTTTTTGATGCCGGAAATAAGAGGATCTGATGACACAAGAAGATTGCAAAACATATCTTCCATATTTTGGATCCTAGAAAATTTTCGAGAATGAAATTTTCCAGACCGCTTAATGTCTTTATTTCTAGACTCTTGAGCTTCTTCTCCAAGTTGTCCAATTGGCAACATAAAATGTGCAATAATTTCTGAGCTATGAAATAAAATTTTATGAACAGAAGTTGGCATGTTGTACCAAGGATACAAATCTATAAATCTTTTAGCTGTATCCTGACAATAAGTTTTAAAAAGTTCGATTTTAATGGAATACCCACTAGATATAGTTAATAAAATTATTCTAAAACGAGTTATAAGCTCTTCGTCAATTCCAGTAATTTTTGAAGATGTGGTTGCATCTTCAAAAAACCTTCGGGCAGTGTTTCCATCATTGGTGCTTCCAAATCCAGGCTTTGGCTTATCCACCAAGAGTCCCATTTCTTTTTGAAATAACTCTTGGATTCGTTTTTTGTTTTTTGCTACCATTTCTTTATTTTCATTACCACGAGCTTGCCATTGCTGAATTACCAGTTTATAAGAAACGTGAAGCAAACACTCAAAAAAGCGAATCCAACGTGCAGTGATGATAATCCGAACTGATACCTCGATTCATCTATAACTTTTGTTTCAAGAATTTTATCAATTTTATTGAAATCCTTTGAAGTTAAACCACAAATATAACACCTTTGTGTAGACGCATTTTCTGTGACAGCGTTTTCAATAGTATTTTTTGTTGGTTTTAATTCACTTATTTGTTTTTCAATATGCTGCATTTCCATAACTGAAAGTTCTGCTGTTTCATGTTTAAATTGAACGCGTATAGGTCGGCAAAAGCGGGTAGAGGAAGGTCTAGGATTTTGCCAAATAACAAAATGTTCTTTCGAACTGGAATCACCATTTATTAATTGGAGTGGAACCATAGATGTTAAAAATATATTAGCGTCTGATATATTTGGATTAAAAAACTTTTGTTTATATTCACTCATCCCAGAACTTCCGTCACATCCCCACTTACATATTAAATACATATTGCTATATTGTTCAGGTTTCAGAGCATCAAGCACTTCCTTAAGTGATTGAAATAATCTGGAAATTGTATGATCCAGTAAATTTTGTAGAGGTTCTTCGGCTTTATCTTCACTGATCGTTACGTTACTTGGATAGCACTTTTTTTCGTCAAAGTAATATATTCATAATTTGGATAAAGGTTTGAATTATTACGTTTTGCTGCATCCCTTATTACATTGTACTGAAATTTTGTCAATTTGGCTTCCACAAAAATTGACAAAGCCTGATCTGGTGAAAATGGTTGTACTTTTATGGCACTGATCGCTTTTTTATATTTTGACGCTCGAGTTGGAGTAGAAAAGGCAACATTTTTATCGCCTCTGCCTTCTCTAAATGGCCTTCGGATCGAAATTGCATTTGTGCAGCATAAGTTAGTTCTTCTGGACTAAAACTGGAACGAAGTTCCTCAGTTTTTCTTCTTTTTGTTCGGTCACTTGAACTTAGAAACAACGCTGTCGGTCTTCCACCACTTTTAAGGGAATCACTTCTTGTGTCTTGTTCTTCTGAGTTAAAAGAATTAGAAAATTGTACTTCTGAATTTAGCCATGGTAAATTTTTGTTACAAAACGCATTTAGATTTCTCGAGGATGCCAACCACTTTTTGTTATAGTGCACCAAAAAGTTTTTTATTTTTGTCTGGGATTCTTCTGACAAATTATCACTTTGCAGTGCAGTTGCCACTTTATGCACTAAATAATCACACTTTTCTTTAAAGTTTTTTGTTTTACACTCTTTTACCCACTCAACAAGTTGATTTCTGGTCAAAGAGACGTACATCGCTCCAGATCCTGTAACAAAAAAAAAATCGTCCTTTATCGGGTGATCTGTATCTATTTGTTAAAAAAAAATATTTTTACGACAAGATCGCAAAATATCGGAATTTTTTTTTATAGAATCTAAAAAACTACTCTTCCAAGCATAAAACAAAAGTAATATTAATGTTGAACTATGTTAAACAATTTACTTTTTCTCTATGCAAACTTTATGAAATGCAATTTGTGTACTGTATTATGCAGGTACAATATAAAAAATTGATTCAAAAAAAATGTATTGCAGAAACTATCAATATTTAACTCTTGTATGCTTTTACTTACCACCAGCAATGGGCTCCATAACAGTTTTTTTAAATATTCACAGAAGTAAACACAAAAATACAATCACAAAACAGACAATTTTAAAAGCACTTCTACCAGATTAGACACCACTCACTAAGACGGTCTACTGTCTACTGAAATATTTTGGTACCCATCGCGAGGCTGAAGTATAAAACAGGTAGTTTTTGACCCGTTGGTGATTAGATAATCGATTATTAATGTGTTTTTCCCAGTTTTTCCCAATCGATTATTAAGGGTTTTGACCACGTTTTTGGGAAAATTCGCCTCTGTGCAACGGTGCCCCTCCCCACTATACGCGAATTGTGAGAAATTTTTTAAATGACAATTTTCCTTATATGTGGATAGGTAGTGGAAGTTCTAATAACGGGCCATCAAGGTCATCTGACCTAAATCCTCTAGGGGGGGGTAAATGTTAAAGCACGTCAGACGGCTTCGAGAATTCCGTAGTAATGTTTACCTGCCGGTGTCGTTTCATAGAATAAGTCATTTTAAATTGTAACCGGACAATCGCATGTATTTATGGACTATAAATAATTATTAAACATGTATCATAATATTCAAATAATAATTTTACAAAATTTCAACAGCTATTCACAATTTATTAAACTATTTACCTAAATTTGTTATTAGCATTTATAAAATAATTTTGTACGCCAATGTATCGCGTTCACTTCGGTTAGATCCACCCCAAACCTGTCAATTTATATGTATAATGTGGGAGAACTGGCAAAAGCCTTTTTAACTTCTACCGCTGCTATACCCAAAATCAAAAGTTTATTGTCCTATAGGTGTAGATTATCTATGCCAAATATCAAAAAATTATACTAAGTGATTCAAAAGTTATGGAACACAGAAGAAATGGGCCAAATTTAAAAAACATCCTGTAATTCGGTTATAAAGGTCGCAAGACCAATACTATATGAGTTTTTGTGATCCCTGGGAGACCTTTATATACAGTTAAAATATTTCCCTTTTCCAATGAAACACCCTGTATTAGGTAAAATCTAAAATCTATGCAGTGATTTTTTCCACCTACATACTAGGTATTTTATGTGCTCGAGTGGACTTTTTTAGGTTTAGCGTCTAACCTAAAAAAGTCCACTCGAGCACATAAAATACCTAGTATGTAGGTGGAAAAAATCACTGCATAGATTTTAGATTTTACCTAATACAGGGTGTTTCATTGGAAAAGGGAAATATTTTAACTGTATATAAAGGTCTCCCAGGGATCACAAAAACCCATATAGTATTGGTCTTGCGACCTTTATAACCGAATTACAGGATGTTTTTTAAATTTGGCCCATTTCTTCTGTGTTCCATAACTTTCGATTATATTATGTACAGACGGGATACCACTGCATAAATCTATACAATGTTGATGTCGCTCTAATAAAATCATTGTTTCTTTTTCTAATGCAGGCTAATATGTAGTCCAAGAGCTAGTAACACACATTCCATTAAGTGTTTGATGCACTTTGAAATGTTGTAATTTGAAATCATTTGGATGGAAAAGCAGATATACCTGTGTTGGCTAGACCCACCCCGGGACACCAGGTACTGCGCATAATAGAAAGGGGTCGTAAAATATGACCCAAAAAAAATATTTGATTCAGAGGCCAACAAACAACAATTGAAAGTTTAGGTAATTCTAAAAATACTAGTAATTAAGCAGACACTTTTGAGAGGGTTTATAATTGATAAATCAACCCCAAAGTTCATTTTTTTTAAATTAGATTTAAAGTGTTTGAATCACGCTGAAATTTTAATGGCGTCTTAATTAAATATAAAAAAAATTAATTCCAAAAAAGCAGACACTTTTTCCGGGGTTTAATTGCCGGCCAACATAAAAATGAATGAACCTCATTATGGGCCACTATGCATTGAATAAGTATATACTTTTTAAAAACTAAACATTTTAAATTACCAAGACTGTGAAATAATAAAACAATAATATTTTTCCTTTTTTTTAGGAAAAAAAAACAAAAAAAAAACTAAAAGTTTCGGGGCTCGAACCACCAACTTGCTATCCACACTATCAAAATTTGGATAGTGTGCTTTGCGAATACGGATGTATACTATTGTGAAAATAAAGTTTTAATTTGAATAAAACCCATCTAATGGTATCAAGTCTGGAAATTTTGCTGGTCATCTTAAAAAAATAAGGAATCCCATTAAAAACAAATGTACAAAACTAATGTTTTCAAGACAGTCATAGTTAAATATATTATATCACATAAACGTATAATTTTTACTTTATTTGTACAAAAATATCAACAAAAATGTCTTTGTCTCTCTATAAATGAAACAACGTCTTGGGTGATGGTACCATTCTTCGAAAATATATTAAAACAGGGCACTAATTTCTTCTTCATAACAGCGTCTCCCAAAAAATTATGTAAGGCAGTTTTGACAGCTTGGGTATCAGTCTTAATGGAACCTAAAAAATTAAAAATAAGGACTTGTAATTAATTTTCCAACTGAAGAAGTTTTATTATTCAGGGTGTCCCAGAATAAGATAACGATCTCAGGGATTCAGATATACACCTAAAAATAACATGACAAATTCCTATAAATGTATAAACCAATGCAAAAAAACTGGTTTTATCGGTATACATTTAAAGTTCTTTTTGTAGTTTAATGTTTAAACTATTCCAAAATATAATTGTTGTGTATCAAACAGGATGTAAAAAATTAGGTGTAATTGTGTGGCAAAGTAAATAAGCCAAATATGTATAAAACAGGAGACTTATTTAATATCCATTACATTAAAAAAAAAACTTAAAATTAGTTGTAGGTATATGACCTTTTTTAAGTACGGATCTGTTTTATTTATCTTGTAATACTTCTCTATAAAAATCATGTAATTGGCCGTTTTTAATTCAGTCATCGATAGAAATTTTAATAGATCATTCTAATTTAATTTTACACCTAATTTTGAGCGATTGAGTATCTGTTTTGCAGTGATTTAGAAACGTATGAATAAATGTGTTAGTCTCAGTATAAATTAAATATGAAAATGTATATTAGGTACTTGTGATTGTATACATTAACAAGTTAGTGAAAGTAGAAATAAGTAATGATTAACTATAAAATAGAGAAATATAAGAGCAACCAAAACTTTGCCTAACCTCACAACAAACCTAATAGTTATGAGTAATGAAGATACCTAATTTGGTATACCCTTAAATACAACTTACAACTTACAAGATAATATAGTTAGATAATTCTAAAAAGATATTGTTGTAATTCAAAATTAATTTCCAGATTTAGGTTAGGCATGTCACTTTTTAAGGTTTTCCGTGTTGTGGTTGCATATTTCTCATAAAAAAATTACCTTATTTTTAACGTTACATTAATGTAATTTACTTTAAAATATACTCGTAAATCACTTTAACCTGTACATTAAACAATTTTCTGAAAGGGTGGTAAAATTTCACTCCAATTCGTGAGTCTTTTTTTAGAGTGACTATATGTAAAGGATCCATCTGCCCCCTTTATGTTTAACTTTGGGGTTGACGAGCAGAAAAACAAAAAAAAAACAAAAAATACAAAAAAACAAAAAAAAATCAAAAACAGAAAAAAATTAACTAAACAAAAAAAGGTTGTCGCTATTTGAAGACCTAATAAAACAAAAATTCGTGTTTAGCCTTGAAAAAGTTTGTCCCATCACGAAAATTCAGCTTGAAGCCACACTTTAGGTCAAGACCAGCCATACTCAGCCTGCGGCCCGCGGGCCACATGCGGCCCTCCAAGCTCTTTTTTGTGCGGCCCTCCAAGCTTTTTTGTGCGGCCCCAAACACTATTATTAGGAAGGTACTTTTTAAAACTATGGCTTTGTATTTTTAAAATTTTGAACGAAATACACGAAAAGCGATAAAGATTATGCTAATATTTTTATTGTTATGACCTACAGTCCTTTTTTGAAACAAATTGTCCTTGCGATTTTTCATAGTTTATTAAAACAACTAAAACAACATGCGGACTTTTCTTTAGTAAATATTTACATTTCAAAAAGGTGCCAACCCTAGTTATCACCCAAAAATATTGCGGCCCGTGTAGCAAACAGACTTACGTGGCCCGAAATAAAAAAAGTTTGAGTATAGCTGGTCTAAACGATACTTTGAATGAGTCGAATTATTGAGTTTGTAGTTTCGATTAGTAATTACTGAATTTATTAAAATAATACAATATAAAACAATTAAGTGTGTAATAGCCTATATAATTTTTTATATTTGTATTTTGACAAGTTTAGCTTTTCAAAGTGCAAACTAAATCGAATGCTGATACTTTCACTTGAAAATTTAATGTATATGTTTTGCACAATACTAGAATTGCCGGAAAAAATGCGCAAAACCAATTTTGCGCAACGGATAATTCCCATCCCCGAAAATGTACTCTTCTACGGCTATTGATCGTTACAAAATAAGCAGAACTAATTTAATCAACGTCCGAACCCGTATAACAAGTAGGGTAGTAGTATGTGTCAACAATTGACAATTTCATGAATTAATTTGTTTTATGTTTTGTGAAAGGATTCTAAAAGTTAGGTCAAAACAGACAAAAAATCGCATTTTATTAAAATATTAATGAAAATAAAAAGTGAAATATAATTTTACAAATGTAATTTCAGCTAAAACATTATAATATACTAGCGCTAAGGAAGACTGTGACGTCACGGAATGAAAGATCGAGTTGACAGAAAATATTCAGCTGCGCTTCGTACATTAGTTTTTTAAAATATCTAATATTTTATTAATATTTAGTGGTGTTTATATTTTTATTTTTGGACTATACACCTACGTTGTAGTTCTTATAAAATCGGTAATTTGATTTTTTGAAAGACAAGCCACAAAACAGCATGGAAAAATCGTGTAATGATTTCCATCAAATTTCAAATGAATTACTTTTTATTTGAATTATAAAGGGAAATATTATTGTGTGAATGGTTTATTTTAAATATTTTTGTAGTATACGGCCTCCTTGCTAAATTCGGATCACACTTTGATTATATCCCGAAATAGTTTGAAATTTTGGCAAGTCTGGAGCGAGCTGTAGTTTTGGTGTTAGCAAACAATTTTTACTGTTTACGCACAAAAATCGTTAAAATAAATAAATAAAGTGAAATTAAAGACTAATGGTAAGATTTTAGAGTTATTATTCTGCAAATATCATTCACCATTTTTAAATTAATTGCAGTTTTGTCCACCCTAGAACACTAGAACAAAGTTCAAAAATAAAAAAATATAAACACCACTAAATAACAATAAAATATTAGATTTTTTAAAAAACCCAGTAAAATATTTTCTGTCAACTCACTTTCTCATTCCGTGACGTCACTGCGTCCTTAGCAACCGTGATGAGGCCACCGTGGTAGTCCACGAACCGTGGGATGAAACCAGCTTTTAAAATGATTTCTAGCAAAACAGATTCCCTTTGTGTTATATTTTGTTTTTTTTTTTATTTTAGATGCCTCGACACTGTTGCATACCTGAATGTCAAATTATGACTATCTCTATAAAAAATGGGAAACAACATTTAGCTTTCCTAAGTGCTCACAAAAACTACAGAAGTAGTTAAATGCTATTCCGGGAAAGAACTGAACTCCTAAAAATAGTGTAGTGTGTGCAAAACATTTTAATGAATCGGAAATTATCCAATTTCATGAATTTAGGACAACATCAGAAGACATAAAACAAGTGTCTTTGGCATACCCCAAATTATCTAAAAGTGCAGTATCGCGAAAGTTTCCTAATCTTCCAAAGTATTTATCATCAGATCCACCAAAAACAAGACCTGATCAAGAAAAAATAAATAATGAAAATTACGAGAACCAAAAAGAAAAAAAGTAAACACAAATATTTAGAAACTGAAGACAACTCACAGAAAAAAAAAGAAAACCAGACACATTGCAAAAATAGATTTAATGTAGTCACATTTCTTTAACTGTTTTTAGATACATGTGATTATAGCTTAATTTTAAATAGATCTAAGGTTATTTTTTTGTGTAATGAATTTTGCTCTTCCATTTATATAAAACATAAAATGTATGATTTCCCACATAACATCAATGTTCTATGAATATACTAAGAACGTTCTGTTTATGTTCTTTTTAGTATGTCCTTTCTAGAATGTTCTAAGAACATACCTAGTATATACTTTGAAAGTATATTCTAGAAAGTATATACTGAGTACGTGCTTTGAAAGTATATTCTAAAAAGTATATGAGTACTTGCCTCAAAAGTATATTCTAAAAAGTATATACTGAGCACGTGATATAACAGGACATTCTTAGAAGATACTAAAAGTAATATACCCAGCATGTACCTCATATTCTAAGAATGTTCTAAATGCTTTAACATCAAATACATGTAAAAACACGTTTATATACATATCTATATGAATTTTTCCCAGATGCCGATCTGATAATTCGCTAGCAAACGCACTAATATTGAATGTTCAGGCCAAAAAATATTCACAACCTTAATAAAAGAGAAGGAGAAGAAGAATAACATAAGCTACAAATTTTTTGAGGTAAATAAATTAATAAAAATTAATTGCATCGTGTGTTCTATACCGGGTGTTCAAATTAAAGTGTTATAGTAAAATACCGCCGAAAATATGCATTTTAGAAAAAAAAGTTTCAGACAAAAATTTTATAGTTTTTTGGGGGAAACATTTTGGCTAAATTAATTTTTTTATAGCTGACCATAATATGGCTATATCGAGGTGGATTTTGTTTTTTTAAATTGGAACCCCAGTTTTTTTTACATATTCTTAAAGTTCATAAAAAAATAAGAAACTTTTGAGGGAAATATATTTTTTATTGGACTTTTACTTTTTGAGTAACAGCTACGTGAAAATTTTGCTGCGCGAAAAAAAGTTGGCCATATTATGGCTAGCTATAAAAATCGATTTTAGCCAAAAATTTTTCCCCACAAAACTATAAAACTTTCGTCTAAAACATTTTTTTTTATAAAAGGCGTATATAACGGTAACGCTTTAATTTGAACACCCGGTATCAAAATAAACATATTTTACTAAATTTGTAGTTTTTAGGACATATAAGTGATGTTAGAACACAGGATATCCCAAATATTAATTTCCAGTGTGAACTTATTAATATTATGGTCAGTACTAATGGCGAATTGAAACTAAAATACAGTGTTACCAGAACTACATACACACTTTCTATGAAAAGAATCCTGTAAGGCTAGAAATTGACCTAAAAGAACTAGAAAATTAGCTAAAGGAGGACGAAAATTACAAAATAATAGTAAGTAATTAACAAAAATATAATTAAACTTTTACTAAACATAATAATCATTTATGCAACTCTTGTTTTTGTTAGTGGAATGCCGTGTACAATTTTTAATGTATACATTCACATAATTTAGATTCTGACTGTAACAAATACAAATTAAGAAATTGAGAATGAAAATATTAAATAGAATAAGTTTTTTTAATACCTAATAACGTAGCAATTGTAAGCCGCTTTCTGTCAACTTTCTCATTATTAGTAGAATTCTTCCAACCTCTTCCTTCGTACAAAGTCCCATTTCCATCGATAATAAAATTGTATAAAATATCTGGTTTTTTCCATTTGGAAATGTGCTTCTGTTGCAAGTACTGCAAACACTCGGTTATTGATAAATCTTGCTTCGCGCATTTTTTAGAATTTACTTCTATTAGGGAAATATTTGTAACGGGCAGTCTTAATTTTTGTACTTCAATTTTCGGTTGAACTCCAGTCCATTCGAATTTTTGTATTAATTCATAGTTGTTATCGGCATTTTCTAAAATTTATCTAAAGATAAAATGAAAATTAAGTATAACTTACAAAATATTTACTAACTACTACTAAGAATGCAAACAGATTATTATCAAAGCTAAATAATAATTACAATTACACTATTTTAAAAGGTAATTATGTTTAATGAGATATGATTCATAGAAACTTATGAACGGATAATAGAAAACCAATTTTTACCTGATGTGTATTATCAGCAATAAGATTAGTAAAAATATACTGACCGGCACAAAAAGAGAATCACTAAAATATTTTCTTTAAAATAATAAAATGTATATTTATTTTTGCTTTGGCTTGGATTTGGTAAACGTGTATTATTGTTAAAATTATTTAACACTTATTTAAGCTTGGATCCGTAATAACAAAAATCATTAACACTGTAATAAAATAAAAAAAATAAAGTGGCAATATTTAATTAAAACAAATATCCAGATAACCATATAAAATCAGTTATACATATCAAAAAAATTAAATTAATAACTGGTATTGCCCCCTGATATTGCCATCTGTACATCCCTCTCACCAAGTGTCTTATGCCATTTTGGTCCAACGTTTCCATATGTCAATTAGCATATTTCTAAGTTCTTCCAAGGTGTCTGGAGCTGGTACACGCGATCTAAGTTGTCTGCCCATCATGTCCTAGACATGTTCAATGGGATTTAAGTCGGGGCTCCATTGTCTCAATACCGACGTCAATAAGATACTGACGTACTGCCCTGGCAACATGTGGTCGAGCAATATCATGCATAAGAATAAAATTGTTGCCAATTAGAGGTGCAAATGGAATGACGTGATCTTGTAAAACTTTTTAATATACCGATCTGCATTCAATGATCCTCCTTCCACCACGACAAGCTCCGTGCGGTAGTCCGTAGTGATGCCTCCGCAAACCATTACCGACCCACCATTAAAACTAACCCGTGGAACGACATTGCATTGTGCGTACCTTTCTCCAGTTCTTCTTCATACCCTTTGGCGACCATCAGGTGATCTTAGGCAAAATCTAGACTCGTCAGAAAAGAGAACTTGGCTCCATTGATTTATGTTCCAATGAAGGTGCTCTCAAGCAATTTGAAGACGAGCTACTCGATGATATGGGAGAAGTTCTGGGGCATTAGCAGGCCTTCGAGCAATTAAGCCAACTGCATTCAGGCGTCTTCTTACTGTTCTCTCAGTTACATTCACTTCCCGAACTTCTTCAAGTCGATTTCTTGCTTGAACAGCAGTGGCATGCCGATGTCGAAGAATAAAGAGTTGTAAAAAACGATCGTCTACAGGCAATGTAGATCTTGTCATGCCCGAACCAGGTCTTCTAGTGTAATTTCCAGTTTCAAGAAAATGTTCTATGGATGTTCGCCTGTGATACTCCAAGAAGATTAGCTACATAACGCTGACTACGACCATCCTCAATAAGAGCAATGGCGCGAGCAGCATCTGTTGGTGACAGTGCCATTATTTGAATAAATGTACGTTAATTAATTAAATTTAGGACAAAATAAATTAATGCCGAAGGTCGCAAGTCGAAAACTAATTTCAAACTGAAGTAAAAATAACCCGAAAAATATTTTTAGGCCCTAAAAAAGTGGTAAAATGATAAACAAGTTACAAAAAATACGCTAAATATACTTATTAGCAACTTGACAATAAAAAATATCCTTATCAACAACGAAAAATAAAAGATAGATGAAATATTTTAAAAATTATCTGTGATTCTCTTTTTGAACCGGTCAGTGTAGATTATACAAAATAATCATAATACGAATTTGGAAAATTGGTTTCTGCAAAGCTATGTAGATTATGTTAAATATTAATAGTAGGTAGTCTTGATTATTTTGACCTCAACTTCATGAAAATCCATAATTTTTATTACCAAGCTATGATCGATTTTCTCAAAAATAAGTTTATTAAGGTATAACTTATTTTTGTGAAAATCTACCATAGTTTGTTTGTTAGCACTTGTATGAAGTTTCATACAGTAACTTACCTTCAAAAAGCAATAAGTATGTGCCAATGACAACTCCTGTTATAAGTAAAATGGCGAGAAATGCCATCGCCAGCCTGTCATAATATCTGTTTTCGTAATATAGGTATCTGTTTATCAGTGGTGTTTCTTCATCTCGTACGCTATATGCACGTGAATAATTTATTGAAGTTTGAACTTGTTGACCTGTAAAAAATAGTTTCATTTAAGGGATATGCGATATCATAAAACTCAAAATGCAGCAATAGGGGTAGCGCAATAATAATTAGAGAAGCAATTAAGCATCATCAAGAAGCGGGATACAGGACTGAAGAATTTAAGACTACTTCAGTAATAATAAAATCCAAAACTTATGATGTTATGGTCACTTCTACATATTGTCCTCCAAAACATATTGTTAAAAAAGAACAATACCTAGAACTTCCTCAATAGTCAATGACCTAGATTTATTATTAAAGGCGACTTCAATGCAAAACATACCTATTGGGGCTCCAGACAAGGTAGTAGCGAGGGGGAGGGGATCAAGGGGGATTGATCCACCCGAAAAAAAAGATATTTATTTTAGACTTTTTTTTTCGGGGGATATTTATTTTAGACTTTTAATAAGTACTAATGAGACTGCAGTTATACAGGGTGAGTCGGGAGGAGCCCACCAAACTCTACGAGTATATTATACAAGTGAAAATAATGTAAAAAACTCATAAGTTCTTATCCTATTTTCATTTGTTTTCAAGTTATAGCATATTAACAAATAAACAAATTTACACATAAAAATTCTCTTAATTATAGCGTTCTTTCAATAAATGTTCAAAAATACCGCCATTGACTTCTAAACATTTTCTGCTTCGTCTACGAAGAGCGTTTGTTGCTCTCCTAATTGATTCATTTGTTTCTTCTTTACACTGACAGTTCATCAAAACGTCAGAATTATCAAATGCCTTTGAGCAAAATCAAAGTATGTGCTTTGAGCCTTGAACATATGGCATAATTTGATAATGTTAAAATTCAGAAGTGGAAAGCTAGATGAACATTTTTAATTACGCCACAACTTGAAAACAAATGAAAATCGGATAGAACATATGAGTTTTTTTTACATTATTTTCACGTGTATAATATATATAGGTAGCAGGAAATCAAAATTTCAGTAAATAATTATAATTTTATTTAAAAAAAAAAAAAACATTATATGAAAAATGTTGTGTCGAGGTACGTATTGTCTTGTCTTTTTCGAAATCAGTAATCCATCAATTTTTTGTTTCCTTTTTCCATGGTTACCATCCATCGGATAAGTAGGGTGCTAGTGTACGCAGCTATCGACCAAGATCATAATATATGTGATAGTATAATGGTACCATCTGACATTGACACTTGACCAACCTCAAATAAAAACTGACTAAGAAACCTTAAAATAAATTGACGTAAAAGTCAAAACTAAAGGTGCTATGATGTCGCCACAATATACTCCTAGAGTTTGGTGCGCTCCTCCCGACTCACCCTGTATATAGTGCGCCCGTCTCAGTTTGTTGTTATACACAACATAATAGTTAATCACCACAAACAAAATTTATTACTTTATGCTCGCTTGGTATTCGCACGATGATACTTAAATAGCGGCGCAGCGACATCTATTAGGGAGCGGTGAAACTACGTGCTACGCCAACTACACAAGCAAGGCAATTTCGGGGACGTACTCGAACTGCATTTCGGGAATATTTAATAAGCATAGAATGAGACTGGTTATTTTTGATGTTATATTCAGGGTTGCCAATCTGTGAGTAATTCCTCACATTTGTGAGTAATTTACTAGTCTGTGAGTAATTTTGTGAGTAAAGGGCAATTGTGAGTAATATGTGAGTAATCGGGAAGTCAGCGTGGGTATATTCATGGTAGTTAGGCAAAATCCTGATCGGATAATTTATTAAAACCGTGTTCTTTTTAAAATTTTAATATAAGCCTTATTTTACCCCCTTCCCCCCCCAGCACTTTTAGCAGTCATTACAATTTTATAGTTTTAAAATTGCAACGTCCTCTATTGCTTGGTCAATGTAAAAGAGTAAAAGTAATTTTGATATTTTACAACACTATAGGTGTCTTGTCGATAATGGATAGTCCCATTGGGACTGTCCCAATCGTCGATTAATATATTTTTTTTGTTCATTTTAAAAGTATATACTTTTATTAGTAGATTTTTTTTAAGTATTAGAATTATTTAATGATTTATTATGATTTGGCCCGTTAATAAAGAAGCTACTCTGATTCTCCAAACCTTTTGATCTGTTTTTTGTTCAGCTGATGACAAAGATGTTTTATATACAGGGTGGTTCATAACTATTTGGAACATAGGCTAAGGGCAGGTTATTTGTATCAAAATATGGGGATAGGGCCAAATATATACCTTAATAAAATATTGCTGTGGAATAAGATACAGGGCGTTAAATAATATTAATAATAGTAATAATAATATAGACTATAATCTAACAGCAAATTATTTGACACAACAAAGCAAACTTTTCATAAATGAAATGTTTTGTGAGTTGTTCAATTGCATTTTTCTCGAAAACGGGTGAAATTTTCTAATCAAAAATACTAAAAAGTTTCGTAAAAAAAGCTACCACTTAATTTCATCATCAGGAATCATTCACGTGGCGCCTCCTGTAACAAAATGTGAAATAATACATAAAATATTATTCCTTGTCGAAAAATATGCCTTTGTGCTAATTTTGATATCAATTCATAAATATACAGTGACATCAGAAAAAAACAAAAAAACAGTATTCAAATTTAACGCCCTGTGGGGTCTATTCTGTAACAATTGCTTTATATTTAACGGCCTTTAAAAATATTGGCGACCTTTAAAAATATGTTTGTATTCGTTAATTTACTTCTGTCATTATTTAAACCGATTTCTTTAATATAGTCCTCTAATGTATTTTAAAGATCCGTTTAAATAATGACAGAAGTAAAGAAGAAAATATTTTTAAAGGCCGTTAAATATAAAGGAATTGTTACAGAATAGACCCCTGTATCTTATTCCACAGCAATATTTTATTAAGGTATATTTGGTCCTATCGCCATATTTTTATCCAAATAACCTGCCTTAGCCTATGTCCCAATAGTTATGAATCAACCTGTATATTACTCTTTCAAAATTAAATGGATTTTCATCAAGTAAAGGCCGAAACAATAAATAAATTAAAATAATGAATGAACAGAAAAAAAGGTGCATCTGTTTTGACTCTTATATGTTCTGAAAATTTCTCTTTTAATGTTTGGCACAGTAGTAAAATAAATTCAAACCAAAGTGCAAGAGTACGAAATATACGATTTATATATAAAAAAAGTAGTAATATTGATATTTTCAAGTTGTGAGTAATTGTGAGTAATCCGGAAAAGTTTTTGAGAGTAAATTGGTAAAGACCGGTTGGCAACCCTGGTTATATTGCGCCGCGTCTGCGGAATATATAAGCGAGCCGTCGAGCACGGAGAGTCAGTTCTGTCTTGGAAAGTGATCCAATGCGATGCGACTAAGGCGATATAAGCGAAGTAATAGTGCAGTGTGAGAAATAGTGCTGTGAATTAGTATTGAAGTGAGTGGTGTTATAATTTTTTTTATTTAAATTAAAATTAAAAGGATTTGACGCCTAGGAGTAGACTATCTACTCGTATTCATTTTCTTTTAAATCTTTATCGAAGTGTGAACAAATGGAATTAATACTTGGCTGTTTTTTTAATTATTACAGGTCGGTTCAACATTTGAAATGGCAAAAAGGATGCAAGAAAACACATTATTTAAATATTTATTTAAAAAATCTAAACCTGGTACTGGTAGTGAAGGTTCTACTGAAAATCAGTGTTTAAGTGTTTTCGACAGTGATACTGCTACAAGTAGTTCTGGTACTTCTGCTGCCATTCCTGAGGCTATGGATGATGTTTCTCACCATGTTTTAGATGTGGGCTATTATACGGGATCAAACACCAAAATTGATGATGGTTTAAAGTACAGTTTGTTGAAATCTCCTTGGATGCCAGAAACGACATTCAAGTTTCCAGTAAGTGACGATAAAAGAAAGCTAAAATTTCAAATGCAATGGTTTGAACGGTTCTCGTGGTTGGTTTACATGAGTACAGGGTAACAAGGCGATTTATGCAAATATTGGTATTATTTGCCAGATATTGAGCAGGTAAAGGCTCTCATCAGCAGTTGAAATCCTTAGTTACTCAGCCGCTTACTAAATGGAAAGAAGTCAGATTGATATAGTGGATACCTAGCGCAAGTAGCTGAAAATCGGAAACGGCTTATTCCGATTATTGAAACAATTAAATTATGTGGACATCAAGTATTGGCACTGAGAGGTACGTGCGACTCAGGTCCAATAAAAATTAATGATGCTGAGCCAGAAACAAATGATGGACACTTTCGTGCTATCTTACGGATGAGAAGCATATGTGAAGACTCAAATCTAATAAAGCACACAGAAAATATGACGTTGAACGCTACCTACCTAAGCCCGACCATACAAAATGAACTTATTGCAATTTGTGGTGAAATAATCCAGAAAAAAGTTGTGCAAGGATTAAATTCTGCGAAATTTTTTTCAGTCCATTTGTCTAAGATATGCCGAGCCAAAAGATAATGGGTTTTTCTTGCGTGAAGATTTTTTAACTTTTATAACAGTTGAGAATACAAAAGGAAGATATTTAGCTAATACAATTTTATCTGAATTAAAATCTTTGGGAGTAGATTGCGAATATTTAGTCGGACAAGGATATGATGGAGCTTCTTCGATGAAAGAAATGTTTAAAGGTGTGCAGGCAGTAATTCGTGAGTCACATCCAGAAGCCCTATACGTTCATTGCAGCTCACGTTCATTGAATTTAGCTCTGGGTCATTTTTGCCAGGTTCAGCCTATTCGAAATACTATTGGAATTAAAAAAATCGGTTGGAAATTTTATCAAATCCTCGCCAAAACAAACCAAGTGTTTAAAAGATAATATCGAAAAAAACTTTCCTGAAACACACAATGGTAAAACCTTACAGCAATGTGCGAGACCCGCTGGGTAGAAAATCATGATGGGTTTTTAAGATTTAAAGAAATTTATAAAGCTATTCTTGATACACTTAAGCACTGACGTGAATTCTGAAACATCGTCAAAGGATAATTCTTTTCAAGTGATTTTGTTATAAG